ATAACTTTGATTTTTGCCAAGAGAAGGTGACTAAAACAGCCTGATAACTTTTCAGTACATCAAAAAGAGACTATTTCGCAGTTTTCTGTCATTGTAAGGCACTGGCTTTTGGATTACTATCACAGCATCAGACCAAAGATACATGGAATTCCTAAGTGGAACACAACTCTTACTAAGAAAAGTCCTTTTATTCATTATTCTAGCCTAAGGAAAACTCCTAAGTCTTTTCCCACGGTAGTTGCTCCTCTGTACTTGGCTATTATAGGAAAATCAGCAGATGCCATTCCCTCAACAGGCAATGGTATGGGGGTTATTTTTGGCTACTTGAGTCACCTGGTAACTGTACAAAAGACCAATCTCAGTCCATCTCTATGAAGTTCAGTGGACCACTTCTGGACATCACCACAGCCATGTCCCACAAAATTGTTCATGAAACTTGACAGATCTTACTCTACAATTTTGAGCTGCTGTGCTATTCAAAAACCTTTCAGACGGTGCAGGACCATATGGAAAAAATCTCAGACAAAACTAGCCAGTTCCAAGGCCACAATAACTATCCATTGGAACAAGGCTTGCAAGATTAAGCTATCAGGCTTACTGGGCACTCATTCTTATCTACTGATCCATTTCATGTGACACAGAGGTGGATCCCAGCAAGGCAGCCTGCTGATGGCTGTGCATGGAGCAGCAGCTGAGGACTGCAGACAAAGAACAAGAAGCAGTCAGGCAGAGTGGGGCAGAACTGCCAGCCCAATCAGCACACACTGCAGGCAGCCAGACCAAGGGTATTGCCAAGAGTATTTTCATAAAAGGACTTGATAAATATTTCTGTTTATAACCTCTAGGTACCATAAAATGGCATACTGACAGTGCCATGAGAGGATGTCAAGGCACTGAAGTAATTTTCTTGTTGATCATTTTTAAACAGAAGTCAGGGCTCACAGAGGACTCCACCTGACTCTTACCATTTCCATGTTGATTCAGCAAGAACCATGAGAAAGAAACCCATTAATCAATCTTCCAGTGTTCTTTGTTAGGAGGGTTTCTGCCACAAGGCAACTGCAGCTTGCCTGGCTGACCCACAAAAGTCTTGTGTTACTACCCCTGGCATAGGCAAGAGAATTCTCTGTCCAAATGGGAAGACAAGCTGAGCCTTTGACCTTTTTTTCTTGTTAGACTGTAGGATGTTTAAAATAGAAGTGCACTTTAATATACTGTAGCTATAAACAGATCTGCATGACTCAAAATCAGGTCCAGCAACATACCTTACATGAGATAATGATTGAGCTCAAATGCAAAATCAAATTATTCAGGAGATGGAAGCAGGGCAAGCTAACAAGGGCATGTAGGGACAGAACTGGGAAAATCCAAGCTTGGTTGGAATGGAAACTAGCAAGGAACATGAAGGGCAACAGAGGATGGGTTTGTGGGTTCATCAATAGCATAAGGAAGAAACCTACTGCTAGGTCAGGCTGGAGATCTACTAACTAAGGGATAAAGAGAAGACTCAAGTACTTAGTGCCTCCTTCCTTCCCTCAGTCTTCATTGATACATTCTGTTTTCAGTTTTTCCAGGTCTCCATTAAGATTAAATTTTGTGGAGTTACTACTTACACTATCAGTGGATCCAAAAGGGACTCCTTAGGTAAGCTGGACAGGCACAATTCACAGGATGAGACAGGATACTTTTGTGACTGCTGAGAGACCTGGCAGATGCCACTGCAAGGCCACTCTTCATTGTCCTTGAACAGCTGTGATGATCAAGGGGGGAAAGGCAATCAATAACAGATGATTTTAAATGCTCATGTATTCTTTGGGCCAGATTTCTACATTTTTATAATCTTTTAAGAAAATTTCCAGAAACTGCACCTCTCTGTGAACCTAAGGCACCTTGGGTTTCCCTAACTTCTCATTTATGGCTGAAAGTTGGTGCTTTGCTAATCTTGACTATTTCTACACCTTTGAAAATGAAATAGAAAATAGCATTTGCCATAAAGACAAAGAAACTAGACTGCTCTTTGAGTGTATTGCTCCAGTACAAGAATAGAAACATGTCACTGCATAAAGTAAATGCAGCAAAGATTGATGAACAATGAATTTGGTTTGTGTTCTTCTCTGAGATTTTCTGTATTTCAATTAAGGGCTCAAGCACCTTGTTTTTCAGTTTTACAGTGCAGAAGTCCCTGGGTTCACACATTGTGCTTCTTTTGTGGTGACAGTGCTCACAACTGATCTCTGCCCCTCGACCAAACAGCCAGACTGATCTCAGTGAGCATCCTGGAGTGTCCCCATACCAAACTTCCTCACTCTCCCAAATACTCCCATAAATGCAAACCCCTGCAACACACACCATACATGGCACAGCTTTCTGCAGTATTCACTCATGCTTAACATTGCTTCTCACATCTACCAAATCAGTCTTTTGGCTTAAAAGAAGTATTTTCTTGCCTTTTGCAGACAACTGGAGGAAAAGATAAGCTGCATCACTGAGGAAGTCAGAGCTGTAATACTGTGTTATTCCTCTATCTATAAGGTCTAGTATTTAAATGGCAAAATTCAATTTTTAAGTTAAATACATTACACTTGGGATTTACTCTTCACAGAACATGAAATTTCTGTCTTCTGTCACTACAGGCTACAAGTTATGTTTTCCTCTCTTTCTGCTTCACAATGCATCTTATGGACAGAAAACAAACAAGAGACAATGAAGACTAAGTGATTTGTTACAATTCATTTGTTACAACTCTATTTCTTCTAGTTAATGCATACAGTTAGCTGGAAATGGAGCCCCTGACTTTTCAGGCGAGGTTTTTCACCTCTGCAGATTTAAGAAACAATATTTTCCTCGGTATTCCTCAACATGGAAGCAACTATTTCCCACAAAAGTTTTCAGTTTAATAACCACAAGTTTCCTAGCTTTTAGCCAAAGGAGCAAAGAACATTACCCAATGGACATATGGATCTGTCCACGTATTTTACTGGCAAAGTAAGGCATTACTTCCAACCTCAGGGTCACACACAGGTCCCTCAGGTGCCTGAATTATGTATTCTGACAATGAGGAGTCAGATGTGTTTTAAGTTTTTGCTACAGTACTCGCTTCCTCTAACCAAAGCTCACTCCCGAAAGCAGGAATTGCTTTTTTAACTGCCCGTATCAGCTATGCTGAGGTACTCAAGGGACAAAGCTGTTCTGCACACAAAATGGAGCTCAGCAACCAACTGGAATTTTAGCTAAGAGGGGCTAAACATCTAAATGTCTGGAGCCAGAAATTATAGTGGAATTCAGGATTCCCCCTGGGGTGGGAACATTCTCCCTCCTGCAGCACCTTTGTCCCACGGGCACATCCACAGCCTGCTGTGAGCAGCATCTTTTTTTAAACTGCTATGAAGGGCCACTGCTTGTCTTTATCAAATGGAGTCTGCTGGAAAAGAGAACGCAATTTTTTTTCTCCTGCTTCTCTTTCTCTCCAGCTTTTAACAAAAGGCTTTTCGTTTTGCTGTCGCTTGACAAGGCTGTAGAGGAAGCGTACATGGCCAGGTTACTGTTGAAAGGTGAGCGCTGCCTTAGGAGCGGCCCTGCCTTCAGTAGCACCCACATGTGGGTTATCCGCAGGTCCGCACGGCTCGCACGTCCTTTCTGCCGAGCCACTTCAAATTCCCGTTCTTCCCTGAACTCAGACGTGAAATGGCGGTGCCGGGGGATGCTGTGAACCATCATACGGACAGGGAACTAGCTAACATTGTACGGCCACCACAAGGACCGGGAACTAACTAATTCTCTTCTGGGAACCAACCACCTCAGGCGCACGAGTGGCGGGGCGGGGTAGGCGGTCACAGCCGGGCAGCCGCGCTGGGTCGGGTCCCCGGAGGCCCGAGGGAGCCACAGCAGCGCTTTGCGGCCGCCCGGGACAATTCCCCAGGAGGGGAGGCGGCAGGACGAGCCACCACGGCCCGGGCAGGGCCCCGTGCTCCGAGCCAGGCCTCGGGGCGGCGCCGGGCACGCCGGGAGCCGCATTCCCGCCCGCGTTCCCGCGCGGCGCGCCGGGAGCTGTAGTCGCGGCCGTGCCGCTCGGCTCGGGCGCTGGGGGCGGGCTGGAGCGGCTCCATTTTGCGCCCGTCGGCGGGGCTACCCGGCCGTCCCGCGGCCCGGCCTGGCTCCAGGCAGGGCGCGGCCCGCCTCGGCGCTTCTCCCTTCCCTCTTCCTCTCTTCACTCCTCCCCGCCCGCCACCGGCACCGCCGCCGCCACCGGGGTGGGGCCCGTGGCCGCTGCCCCCCGCGCCGCCCGGCCCCCGCTGCCGGCCGCGGGCTGAGCGCGTCTCCCGGGGGCGCGGCCCCGTCCCTCCGCGGCGGCGGCTCCATGGTGCCCGCCGCCCCCCGCCGCCCCGCAGCAACAGGCAGGACGAGGAGGAAGCGGCCGCCGGGGGTCCGCACCGCCCCGCCGCCGGCCTGAGCGGCGCCGCCGCCGCAGCGGGAGCCACCGAGCGGGCGGGGGGCGCCCGCGGGCCGCCGGCGATGGCGAACCAGCTGGTGATCCTGAACGTCTACGACATGGTGAGCCACCGGCACGGCTCTGGGCGGGGGTCTCGGGCCCTCCCGGCAGGGCGGCGGCGGGGAGTGGCCTGCCCTGCGGGGGCCAGCGCGGCTGCGAAACTTTGCCTGCCCTTGCCGTGGCTGTCCCCGCGGGAGCTGGAGCTGGGGGCGGCGGAGCGGGAGAAAGAACGAGCCCGGGCAGGGGAGGGCGGGGGCGGTGATTTGGGAGGTCTGACGGATTCCTACAGCCCCTCTGTGACCTGCGACAAAAGTTTGCCGGGTCGGGTCTTCCAGTGACAGGTGGATCCGCTCCCTGTCGCGGAGGAAACTTTCCCTGTGCGTCCCTGTGCTGTGCTGCTCCCTCCGCTACTGCTCCGAAGCTCAGCAGCAGGGAGGCCCTGCCTTTCTGCTCACGAAAACCAGAAAGAGTCCACTTTTCCAAGAGGATGGTAGTTCAGGATAACCTCTGTAAGGATAAGAGCTTTTTAGCACAGTGTCAGTAAGGTGATTTTTTTGCTAGACCATATTTTTTTAATAGTTTTGTTGGGGCTGCGACCTGGTAGAAATAAGAGAGTCGCTCCAGCTTGATTTGCAGCCGTATGAGCTCACCTTCCCTCCCTCCTGGATAATCTTTATGTGGCACCTACAGCAGCTGTGGTATTGTCTTATGTTCAGCTGGAAGCTGCTCAAATGCCATGGTAACAAATGAGGTGTAAGTACCTGCATGGAACAGTAGGCTTGGATAAGTAATAAGAAAATATTATCCATTAATGCGTTTCAATCTCTGGAAATTAGAACGAGTGGCAGTATTCCTCTGACCAAGTTTTAAGTCTGCTGATAGAGGGACGGTAAGATGGAGAACTAGCTTCAGGTGACAGTGGTTGTGTTGCTTAGCTTATTTTGGATAGGCTTTCCTACCACCACCACCATTTTAAAGTGAACCTTTGCTGTTTTGAATGGGTGAAGGTGTATAGTGTAGTGCCAGTGACTGCTGGAAGTGAGAAAATACAGCTTGTTTTGCTTGGGAACAGTCACATTCAAATGCTAAAATGTTTAATAGCAATCAGTAGGGATCTATCTGGCTTGAAATCAAATATATTTACAATATCATAGCAACTAGCCTGATTTTTGTCATTATTTTCTTTCACTCTAATACTTACCTCAGAAATCAATGTCCCTTTTTGGGGGGATTTTTTTGCCAACACCTGTGTTTGAACTCTGTCTCCAGTGAATATAGCCCGTTACCTTGACTTTGGTTTCCTTCATTATAGACAGGGAGGGGAGACTGGAGACAGGAACAGTCTGTTCACTGTGATTTTCTCAGAGATGGGAGGAAAAAAGCAGGGGTCTTTGCTCACCTGGTTGAGCTCATATGTGATGCTAATATGAGAAAAAGTCACAGTGTGCCTTATTTACACTAGACCTGAGGAGGGAAGGCTGCCCTGTCACATGCATATATTTGACTTCTCTGGACTACAGTGCAAATATATATATTGGGGAATATCTTTTAGCATAAAAAAGATGGTTTTACATATATTAACTATAAATATTTGTACAGAGAAAGAAGTAGGACTTCAGCTTCGTGACTCTTACATAAGAATATCTTTGAAGTCAAGGCTTGACGCACTTCTGACTCACCAAAATGGAAGACCCACTGCTCTCATAAAGACTTGCTTAATTGTGCTGAGTGAGCCCAGTTCACAGGCAGGCTGTGAAACCTGAACAGAGTGGACTGACTCCTGTGTAAATGCCTGCCATGGCCTCTAAGAAACTCCATTCTCCCTCTGATGGTAGCACTGGTGGGGTGTGACTTCAGCATGCTGTCTCTTTTTCTCTTGTGATAGTCCACTCTTTCATTCACATCACCCTTTCTTTTTCTTCCAGAGCTGAATTGCTGTGATCAGTTTTACTCCAGCCATCCTAGGAAGGCTGGCAGTTGACATGAGGGAAGTGAGGAAAAAAAGCAACAGGAAGGATGTGCTCCTAAAAGCTAGTGCCGTATTTTTCCTAAGGACATGTTGGGGGGCTGTTGGTTATCCTGTTGTTATTGCTGGGATTCTGCCTCCATTGAGAATTCACAGTCTCTGAAGCCACCATCCATGGAAGGAACTTGCTCTCCAAAAGAAGCAGCCAAGCACATTTATTTGCAGATGCTTGATTACATGTAGTGGTGACTTTAATGGTTGAAGCTGCACATCACCACAGATTATACATAAGGAGATTATACATACCACTAAGGAGAATATTTCTATTTTCCACTTCAGTCCTGTTTGTTGTTTTGTAGCGATATCTACTTTATTTGGCCATTAGAGAAGCAGTTTTCCTTCAAACTGGTGAGAAAAACACGAGTTTTTCTCACCAGTTTGATGTCTGGAAGATACCACCAGTGTACATCCTTCATTAAACTCCTCTGCTAAACCATATCTCAGTCCGTTAGAGAGATGAGACCAAAGCCTCACTTTTGTGTTGCATAGCAGTTTTTACTGCTTGTACAACAGCCTGCTGAAGTCAATGGTACTGCTTTATTTGGGGACACTCGGAGTGGGTGGAAGAAGGGAGGAGTCCTCTGTAATAGCAGTTTTGAAGTTCTGTTTATTCACCAAACCACGCCAGCTGTGTATTTATTTGAGACATTAGCAGGTTTGCTGTTTGCTTCTGACATTCCATGTCATTTGGAAATGGGTTTGGGTCTGTTCTGTAGTTAAGGTTTGGGACTGGGTTTTTTTGTTTCTCTTTTGGAACCATTGTTATTCACCTGGTTGACAGAACCAATGTTACTGTAATGAACAAACAGCTTCATTTTAACCTGAACACAAACTGTGGCTTCATTTCCCAGGCAGCTGCTTAGGTATGCAGGGGAGTGCTAAGTGACCTTGCTGCTGCTGGAACTCCTTACAGGAGTGAGTTGGTTGCTTTTGGAGGGTGTATCCTTCCAATGTCCTTAGTGCTTGAAAAAGCAAAAATCTTCGATACAACCAGAGTGTGAGGAGGATGTGTGTGTTGTAGAAGAAAGTCAACTTTCAAGGACTGGTGACTTTATGGAGGGAGAGAAGCCTAAGGGCATGTTTACGTGGTACAGTTCATGCCTTTGAACATCTTCTATGATCATTAAAAGGGTAGGGTGAAGGCTTTGATAGATTGTGTTTTGAGAACTGGAGTGCTTTATAGCTTCATTTTAACTAACTGCTATTTTTAGGAGTCTAGTTTTTTTGTGCCCAAGTAGTATCCTATTTCTTCCCTTGTCAAATAAGGCAATAACAAGCTAAAGTATTAATGTAAATGAAAGCTCTGAAGGTATTTTGAAGCACTGGGATTAGTGTTTTTCTTTCATTGCAGTGACATGACTTTATTGTGCACATAGAAAAATACTTCTCTGATATTTTCCTTATGATAGATTAAACTTGAAATCCTGTTTTAGAAGACTGACATGTTGCAAAATATTGAGGATATGGGATTGCACCATACTACTATGGCAAAATCCATATCAAGACTAAAGGGAATCCAGTTTGTGTAATGGAAACAAGGATGTAGCATGTGGGATCAGTTTGGGCATGTTACTGATCCAGTGAGCTATAAGATGTAATTTAATTTACAGTCCTTATTTTGTAAGTTGTATATAATCTTTTCAGCTGCAGCCAAATTCAGCACTCTTTGTTGCATTTGTCCTGCATTTCTTCCTTCAGTGAGATAAGGCATTTTGTTCAATGAGTAAATGGGACCAACCTTCCAATAGCTCATCCAGATTAAGTAATAATTAGATATAATTACTTTCCTAGGGGGAAAGTAATTCTGCCTCATTGAAATTCTTTTATCTTCAATTAACCTATTCTGTTCTTACTGGAAATATGAAGCAAAGTGCCAGCTTGCTTCAGGCACTTCTTCCAAAGCTGCTAACTTTGATTTTATCTGCCACCAGTGCTCGCTTTGTGCAGTGTAGCAAGGCCTGAGTGTTGAGGTGGCACCAGCAGGGAGGAGTGTGTGCTTGGATAGGGGCAGGCTGTGCTCAGTACCCTGTTGGATCAGCTTTCCATCCCCTTCATCCGCTTCTCTGCGGATCAATGACAAGGCTTGGTGACTCACTTTTCTCTCTCCCCTATACTTTGTTTGGTTTCATGGGGTTGTGGCTGGGGAGTACTGTGAATACTTTTTCTCCTCGTTTTCTTCTGTCAAATAACCAGCTAGGCTTTATTCTACCCCACTGCATGTGGGGTATCTGTGTAAGTTTTGTTCTGTTTTCAGAAAGCAGCCGTAACCTTGCTTGGCATTAACAGATCCAGTGGGTACATGTTATGTAGGTTGTTTGGAATTCAGCAGCCAGGTTCTGAGTTTTCTGGCCACAAGTGCCCAGGAGAGGGACAGACTAGAGCACCAGAGACCCTGTCTAGCTCAGTTCTAGGTAAGGTTCATTTGGATACACCTTCCCATTAGGCAAACGTGCTTTATTCCAGTGATGACAAACTGTACCTTGACTGTGCCTACGGTTTTGACTATAAATATAAACCTGAAACTATTTTGAAATGGTGAGCTGGTAAACCCTGGGATAGGAAGGGCTTCAGAACTGGAACACATTTATGTTACAGTAGCTCTTCTGTTTTCATGGGGACTTGGATTTCACCTTGTAGGCAGAATCCTTTTTTTATGCTCACAAGCCCACTAAGATGAGTAGTCTTCGCATCCTTCTCCTTTCTTTCCCTCTTTGTATTCTCCCTGATATGTCTTCCTATACAGGGTAAATTAATGCAGTGTATTTCTGGATGTAGCTTGTTCTTATAGATTTGCTCTCTGCTCTTTTCTGGGGGGTGGAATGAAAGAACTGCTAAGCCCTTTAAATAGACTAAGGTGATGATTTAGTGTAGTCATCCATACCCCGCTAGCTAACATAGCACTACACTGACAAAGCCAGAAATTATAACAAGTGGTAAAGTTTAATCTTAAGCAAAATTTATCCATTGATCACAGTTGAGCTTTAAGTAAACATAAGGTGCAAAATCTGCCTTCTCTTAATTCATATTGACAAAATTTCCCACAGCTGGTTCGTCTGTTTGTAACTATTGGCAAGGTGTGCTCTTTTTGCCATTTAGCTTGTTTTCGTTTTTATTAATAGCCTGTCAACCTGAGGTTTAGTGTATCATTTTTATTGGGAGACAAAAAGCCTACACGCCGTAATGTTTGCAGTGGTGCTGTAAATTACACACTGACTCCAGCCAGCACATCTTCAAGTGTGACACCTGCAACCTTTTATGTTTTTATCACTGCTTGTGCTGCACAGTGGCTTTGCATCAGAAAACACTGATTATGTCAACAGGTTGTGTGAAGAAGATTGCTTGATGCTTTCTGCCTGCTTGCTAAACCAGTATTAATTTACTGGGGGTACTGCCTCAGCCTGAATCCTGCCTGCCAGTTGACTTTTTGAAGTCTGCTTTGTAAAAGCTCACAGAGAAGCTCTGGGAAATAAAAATCCTGTTACTGGAGTAATTGACAAAATAGTTTCCTTGTATTTTCCTGAGGTTTTTCTTGCTAGCCAGTTTCAGTTTTAAGGACAACTGAGGCTGGTTTTTTTAAGGCTTTGTTTCAGGTTCCTTCTCCAGTTGTGTGTCACTTGAAATCTTTTCATGCTTGGGGACTGATACTTTGAGAGTGGTGATGCAGACAGGGGAAGAGTACTTTGAGGCTTTCCTTTATCAGAGTTCTGCATCTTTGAGGTCTTCAGGGTAACAGTTAGCTTCTGATAGACACTTGCTGCTGCTGCACTTTCATAAAAGAAAAGAGAAAGCATTAAGAGAAGTTTCCTTTCTTTACTATTTTTTCCATTTTCTAAAAAAAATTCTCTTCTGATTCCTTTTGAAATGCATCTGTTTTCTGTTGGGTACAATACAAGTGATATATTGGAAACAAGTGTCGGACCTATGCAAAGGACTTAAACCTCAATTTTGGAACCCCATGCATCAGCAGCCTGGAGAGAGCTTTGTCTCTTGCATGGTGACCTCTAACTGAGTGTTCAAAGACAAAATATAAGAAGGTAATTTCAGTTCATCTCTGGGTATGTCTTGTGCTCATCTGTTCAAAAGCAGGTGTGGTCATTGCTATTAATGGCAGTTGGTGTGGGCATCTCACAATCCCACATTCTGATGGACCTTGAAGAAAAAATGTGCTCCTTAAAATTACAGCAATTGATCCTGGAATGTGTTCCACCTAATGGCAAACTTAGCAGCCTACAGCTTGTTGACAAATAGGAGGTTGAACTGGATTTCTCCCAGGTTCAGACTCCTTGGCTGACAAACGTTGACAGCACTAAAAAAACTGGAATAGAACCTAATGGAATTAATTCACTGCGTGCAGTTTGGGAATTTTAGTTACATTCTGTTCCTGTAAAATGGATTGTGCCGTTTACACTTTGTGATAAGGTTTAATACTTTGTGATAGGGTTTATTGCTTTTGATGTGGGGGGACACATGTCTGCTCTGAAAAGATAAATCTGTACTGCAAACTAACTTAAGTTTTGGGTTTGTTTTTTTTTCTTCTTTTCTTTTAGTATTGGATGAATGAATATACTTCTTCTCTTGGAATTGGAGTGTTTCATTCAGGTATAGAGGTGTATGGCCGAGGTATGTACAAGAAAAGCATAGCTTACTTTTTCCTTCAGTAATACTGTTATTTAAAAAGCATTTTTCAGATAGTGAGGGGAGCATAGCTCCTGAAACTTGTTCATCTCTTTTCTCATCTATTCTGCCTCTGGAAAAAAACCTTGGACATGAATAACCTGGTAGCCACTGTGCATTCTTTTGTACAAAGCTATGCAACTTCTTCAGCCAGGCATAGAAATCTTTATTTTAGGTTTGGAAATACTTAAAGAAACCTATATAAAACAAATGTGTGCTTTATGTAAAGCATGGTTGAATCCATTGCTTAGTTTTCTGTCAGCACTTACTGTAAGGAGTTAATTTTTAACTGCAGGAACAATAATCTGTTGCAGAGAGACACCTAAAAGTGCATGATGCTCAGGCAAAGGTTTATTCCATTTTGGTAGGTTGGTTTGTTTTAGAGACCATTTCTTTCAAAGGAATCCCATTCGTGCTGCTCATAAAAGATGCCCTTGTGATTAATAACAGCAATGCTTTTCAGTTTTGCTAAATGGGTTGTGCTTGGGTGCTGCAGCCTCCTGGTCTGTTCAGGCCACTTTGCACCTGCATTGCAGCCAAAGGTGTTTGTGCACACCCTAGCACGGGCTCAGCTCTGAGGTGTTTCTGCCCAAAGCATAATGACACTCCGAGGTGATGGTGTTGCTGAAAGTAGTCCAGTTAAAGAAGGAAAATTTACTGCTCTGGTTTGTTTTCTTTTGGAACGTGTTGGGAGGTGAGGGGAAGGAGCAAAAGGCAGGGCATGCACTCCAAAGACCACACTGCCCAAAGTTATCTTAAACTATGTTTCAGCTACTGTAATGGTCACATTGTATCTGATTTTGCAAGTGTTACCAGAGCAACAAATTGACAAAAATACAATGCTAAAACTTTTTTGGGGATTTTTGTTTTAATCTGACCCAGAAAGACCTGACTCTTAAGAGTGCTGTGCCTGAAACCCAGTTTTTGAGCTGCGCCAAATACATGTGCCCCCCTTCCTGTTGGGATTATAGCAGCTTTCTCATATAGCAGGTCATGCCCCTGCTAGAACAATGACTTGCATTTTTCCAGGCACATCAAACCTTTTATTCATTAACCTGTTGTAAAAAAGGTTATCCACAAAACTGAGTGCTAGACATGGGTGATGTGTTATGGGTTTTGAGGAAAGGAAGTGTGAAGTCATGCTTAAAGCTTTTTATTACACTCTGGGTGCGGCGTGCTCTGTTATCTTACACACACAGACGGAAGCTGCAGCACACCATGATGCTTTCATGTAGTGTGAGTGCTTAAGCCAGCAGGTGCTATGTGCAGACTGGAGATGCATGCACTGGTTTACTTTCTTGCTCTATTAAAGAACTTGTGAACCTGTAAAGAATTGAACTGTTGCAAATCAAGAAATTTAAAGAACCTATTAGGCCACTATGCACTGCCACACTGAGGACTGTGGTGTACACTGGATAGAAATGCCATCAGACCTCTGAGGATGCTGTACTTTGAATCTCCAAAGTACTATTCCCAAAGTACTATCCACTTCTCATAGACATATGTAAGTGGAATTCTAAAGACAAGTATGTATAAAGATGTACAATTTAACTTGTAAATGCTCACTTATACAATGAGAACAAAATGTACTTTCTGCAAAGTTATTCAAGTTAAACCTGTGCACTGATGTAGGAAATTTCCTGTTAGTTTTTACTTAGGCTGAGTAGTAACTGACAAAGGTATTAATTTCCAGTTCATTTAATTTGCTCCACATGTAAATAACATGTCTGGTTGCTAGCTTTAGATCCTTGTGAAATCACCTTCCAGTCAGTAATCTCTGCTGTTTTTTACTGTCATCAGATGCTGCTTTTGTTAAATCTGAGTTTTCTTTTTCAGAATTTGCCTATGGTGGTCATCCATACCCTTTTTCTGGAATATTTGAGATTTCACCAGGAAATGCTTCTGAGCTAGGAGAAACATTTAAATTTAAGTAAGAAAGATTACCTATTTTCTTGCTCTTTGAAAAAGCATATGAAAAGGACAATTTGTTGCATTTATTTTTGAGGATAGATGTATTGAATTGTAAAGGATTTCTAGCTTTCTGATAAATTCTTGTGTTTGCATAGAAATGAAAAACAGACTTAGGTGACGAGACAATGAAGTGTCTACAGCAAAGATCTTTTTTTTTAGCATACCATTAACTTCCTGAAATGCATACAAATTTTGTGGACTTGGAGCTAACTTTTATTGCTTACACAGCATAAGCAATGCAGTAACTTTTTCAAGTGGGTAATCAGCAAGAAAACATCATCTCTCATGATAAAGATGAACGTGGTGCCATAAAATGGAATAGAAAGACCCTTTGTTATTCTTGGAGAACAGAAAGATCTTGCTACCCACAGTGGAGTGACTTTTGAGCAATGTATGAACAGTATCCCACCTGTATCATGGGAGCCAAATCACCTTCTACTCTCTGTTTCTCTTCTAGAGAGGCTGTGGTTCTAGGCAGTACTGACTTTATGGAAGATGATATAGAAAAAATAGTAGAAGAGCTTGGAAAGGAATTCAAAGGAAATGCTTATCACCTAATGCACAAAAACTGCAATCACTTTTCTTCAGCTTTATCTGAGGTAAACAAACTTAAAGGTCTATAGAAAGGTGTTTCACAGGTGGTTACAGAGCATCATATCCTTCCAGTCCTTTGGAACGTTTGGTTTAATTTCCCACTTCCTATCTCTGTTGCCTTGGGCAAATATCATCATTTTTCAGGTTGTATTTGTGCTTATGTCCAAAGCACCAGAATTTCCTGCTAAATATTATTGCTGTACATAGCTTGTGTTAGAGCAGAGGTGCATTCCTAAAGAGATACCTAGTAAATAAAGTATTAAGAAGATTTAGAAATAATTTTAGTTGTTTCAGGGATTGCTACTGAAGATAGAACTACTTGTTATTTTTCTCACATTATTTGTATTTCCCCACAGAAACATCACACTGTAAATAATTTACAAAGTTATGACCTAGTGTTAAAGAATAGCAAAGGCATTAAAGTTCCCCAGATAATGTTAATCTTCTGCTTGAGAGGCTTTTGTCAAGTTATTGCTCTGCCAGCACCTATGTCCTGGTCATCTAGATCCTTGATGGTCGTGCAGAGTATGTGACCGAGGAGTGGAACAGGCTTTGCTTTTTCCCCCTTGGCTTTGTTGTGTAACACGATCAGTTTGCCAATATGATTGAATGCCTGATCATTCACATGTGTATCCACACATGGGAAAGGGCCAGGAACAAGTAACCCAGGTCAAAGAGGGGAATGGAAACTTTGATTTTCATTGATAGTTGGCAATCTCTGCTTGACAAAATTTATTCTAATGTTTCATTGAAACACTCCAAAACAAGGATGGCTGATTTTCCCATGTGAAGTTTCCCAGATTTTATTTGGGTTTTTTTTCCAAAATAGTTAATGCATACTTGCTGTATAGCCTGTGTTTTATGTAGACTGATCTTCCAGTGGTAGTGGAAAATTTTATTGAGATGATGATTCATGTGCAATACTGGTACAAGTAAGTAGGGTGAGACACTGACAAAGCTGCAGTTGGTGTGAAATCTGGCCTATATGGCCAGGGTTTTGCCATACTCTTCAGCTGTATGGTCATATTGTTTCTGTTTTAGGTCTTGTCCTATTTAGTGTTCAAATTTGCTATAAAAGTGGGTATAATTGCAAGTTAAATGCTGCTCAGTTAGAGCAGAGTAGTGCCCATGTTCTCCAGATTTGCACTGTGATACCAGAAATTAATATGGAGGTGGTTAAATAAAGTAACTCACTCCTTGAATAGTGACAACAAAATTATTTAATGACTGATGTGGAGTAAAAATAAGTACTTAATGCAACTTTATACATTTTTGAGGAGTTGAACCCAGCTGTGCATTGTATAGTTCCAGTGAACCAAAGTGTGTGCTTGGCCTGTGTTGTAGGATAGTGATATCTTGTGGAAATTGTCAGAAGCCACCACAGTAAGGAGCCTCAGCTGTGTGTGTAGCTCTGTGCAGTTATAGTACTGACACTGGCCACTTGATTTCAGGGTGCTTTTTTGTAACATTGGGGTTTCTCCTGCAGTTTCTGTTTCTGAGGAATTTGCACTGAATAGAAACCATAGCTTAACTAATTTCTGTGCCTTTTAGAAAAGTTATTAAGAAAGAGTGAGGTGCTTAGGCTTTTCAGGACTTCTAAGAAAATCATAGAATCAACCACGTGTCCAACTTTCACAATGGAATATAGGTGTCTTTTTGGGACTTAAAATGCTGCATTTACTGATGGAAAAGGTCATAGTGCAGCTAACTTGGGTGCTTCTTGACTGGCATTTGTAAACTGCAAGGTTGCTGCAGCTTTTGCTTCTTATTTACAGTACTGCTGAATCCAGAAAACAAATTAACCCTTTGTTTTTCCTTCCCCCATAGATTCTCTGTGGAAAAGAGATTCCACGATGGGTGAATCGCCTTGCCTACTTCAGCTCTTGTATTCCCTTCCTCCAGAGCTGCCTGCCAAAGGAGTGGCTGACTCCTGCAGCCCTCCAGTCCAGTGTTAGCCAGGAGCTACATGATGAGCTGGAGGAAGCTGAGGATGCAGCAGCATCAGCTTCCTTGGCAAGCTCAGCATCTGGGTCTAGAACTGGACGCCACACCAAATTATAAGTCCTCCTCCAAAGTAGCAAATACTTCAGAAATACTTTTGAAATACTTCAGTTTGATCTCTTCAGCAATTGACTTTCTGACAGAACATGAGAGCCAACTCTAGAACATTGTTTTTATATGCAAAAAAAAAGCTCTCATCAACCCCTGTTTCAGCTCAGGATTATTGACGTAGTGAAAGGAATTGCTGGGAGAAAAGGGAAGGATTTTGTGTGAAGCCACCCTTTTCATTTTCACCTGTTTGGTAGACCTGAGTTAACATCTTGCATAAAGCAGAACTTAAATTATTTGTTTACAGTATTGTGTACTGCTGTTTACAAGTCCTGTAAGGACTCCTGCTACCATGGAAGAAGAAAGCATTTGGGTTTGATTTAACTGTTGGTATAAATCAAAAGCAGTGGTATGATGCCCTGGATGAACTTTCCCCTTTGTTTTCAAGATTTAAGGCAGGAGAACACTAAATTGAGGAATGCCAGAAACTGCTGAATACTATATATGTGAACAGGGTACTGTGCTCTTAAAGTGGCTGATGTAAACAGGTAGATTCCAGGATGTAGGGAGACTGGTTTGGTCTAAAATCTGTTCCTAGAAGTATGACCTCTACATTAATGAAACTGTGGATTTTTGCACATATGAAGGGAAATTTCTATCTCATTGCAATGCACATCAATCCATTTCTTTTTTTTTTTTTCAATTCAGCCATTTAGTTTTCATCCTGTCTTGTGTCTTTACTTGCAGTTTACTTCAGGATTTAAACATGTCAATATCATCTGCTAGAAGCATCAACAAATTTTTCACTTCTTTGCTTTACTTGATTTCAAACTTGTATATATAAGTTAGTACTTGTATTCCTTTTTTGTTTGTTTCATATAGTTTGGAATCGTGTAAAACAAGCCATTTATGGTTGAGAATGGCCTTTGCTTCCTGCTGCTGATTTTGCTTCATTTGAGTTTGTAAACATTCGTGTCCTTCTTTTTTTGAGCTATAAATTACTGCCCAGTTGTGCATATCCGCACAAATGATAGAGAAATCCTAATTTATTTTCCCACAGTCTCTATCTGTGGCATTAACTTTCTTATCAGATGTAATGATGAAAAACCTGAAAATTGCTTATGCACCTGCGTGTTTACACAGCAGAACCCACTAATCTGCACACATAATTATATCTGAAGGTAAGAGATATTATTTTCTAAAATACAGAAGTATGTTTGCTGGTAGATTATAATTAGAGCTAAATTATAATTAGTGATCAGAATATATAATGGAATGCCTTATTCTTGTTCACTTACCAAGAGAATTAATTGTTCTTCCAATCATTAGTGTAAATTAGTGAGGTTCTATTGTGCACATAAGGCTACAGTAGCACAAACATGAGAGAGGTGAGCTTAAGTATTTTGTAAGACTTGCTGCCTTAAACTAACAAAAAACATACCATCCCTAAACAGGATCAGCTCACAAAGAAGTGTGCATTACTCAAAATACGGATGATTCTTACGAGCTTTATTTACAGTCTTTTGCTGGGTTTAGTTTTTCTGTTGAATGAAATACTGACTCTGCAGTTTCTGCTGTTTAAAAGCAAAAAAAAGTCCTCTTGGAAGGCAAAATGCTTCATGTTATGAATGCTCCTGGCCGTGGGTAGTGGTGCCATTGAATCCTATGGAAAGGTGCAGTAGCTGTATCATAGTAAGAATTCTTATGGTTGCCAGCTCAAACTTGTGCTAGAAACAAGTGGAAGTTTTTCCTGCTGCCACCTGGGTTGAATCCTTCATCAGACAGACTTTAGGTTTTCACTTATCTTCTGTGATGCAGTGTAGTACAGAGAGAGATACGCTCAGTTCTGGGGGGGAAAATCAAGTGAGACTCTTTCTGGAAAGAGCGAGATAATAGTAAACGTCTCCATAACTGTATTTTGGTACATGTTTTAATAATCTCTTCTATCAAGTGGGAAATGTTTAAGGCTGGTGAGTCTGCCACTAACTTCATTCTCTGTTTGATCTCCAGAAGCTGGATATACTGACCCTCCCTGTTGAGTGTTTTCCACTCTGAATTTGAGTTCTCCCTTCCTTCTTTTCCCTGTAGTGAAAATGACTATGGTGGTCTCCAGTCAACTCTCAAGCATTACACAACTGGATCTCGCACTACTCACAGCTCAGACAACAGGCTGCAGACAGGTTGTTTTGTCTCTGCTGTGCAGCTGTGGTAGTAATGTGACTAAGTCTCTTGGCCAGGGCAGGTCCTTTATTTCAGCTCAGGGTTGAGGCCACTGATCTAGCAACGTACTGTAGCTTTTCCTAGGCTTTAGGAAAAATAAATAGAATGAATTTTCATTGCTACCTTTTATGTACCAAAATCAGCTTTTTAGGCTTCTGATACATCCAGAGCGCTAGGTCACAAATCTCTACACCTTCATTAACACACACAATTACAGCATGTACAATGCAAGAACATGACAGATCACAGCACAGTTTTTATTTAGAAGTAAAACTGAGACTATTTTTTATAAAGCAGACTGGAAAGTTTGTAACAAAAACATTCATTTTATTGTTAGCTGTACAGGTGAAAATACTGTCTTATGCTCCATAACAACTTTTTTCTGTTTGTTTTGAAACCATCCATTTGTAAATCCTGTAAGGAAACTGACACCTGAACCCTGAAGGTTGTTGGGTATTGAATCAAAGCAAGCAGTACTGTAATTCCAACCGTGTGCTGTCAGCTCAGCCTCTGCTGGATGCCTGCAAGTCACCCTGCCAGTGGTTACTCCCATTTGTTAGCAATAGAGCAAGTTACCTTTCACCAGCATTACTGCCAAGCAGGGATTAATTTAGCCTACTAATGACCACACTGTGCTAGGACTAGAACACTTCAGAATGCTGTGAGAAAGCTGGACACCTGTGGAATCTTTTCCATCAAAACGGGTAGAAAAATATCACCACTTCAGGGTTCTGCTCTGTTTACTTTCTCATTCTTGTTTAATTTTCTGTGAGATAGTACTTTTGATATGTATTACGTTGTTTATCTCAGTCATTTTATTTAAATGCCATTTTCTGTTCAGCAAGCCAAAAAAATCCAATGTACTGTCAGTGTGCACCAGTAACTTCGGAGTGGCTTGGTAAAAAAAAAACATAGTTGCATTACTTCTAAAATTTGCAATGCAATTCTGATCACTATTGATAGATGATAATTTTCACTGTTGGAAGTTGGTTACAAGCTGAATATTCACTGATGCATTTTTTGTAAACTTGTATTCAAGTTTACTACATAGTATTTGTATAAAATTCAAAGAATTTTGACTTTTGTTACCTGTACATGGCAACAAGTTGTCTAGCATCTTAAACTTAAATCCATCAGTTTATTAAAAATACTTTTATAAAAAAAAAGTTGGCTCTTTGTGTTACTCCCCTTGTACCTACAGCTTGTTTTGGCAGTGCCACCCAAGTTGATGTTTGGTTCTGAGTGATGGTTTTGCAGGACAGTGAGACTACCCAAGGGTTTCCTGTAGTTAAGCTTTAGGCTGACATGGGCATCAGGCACTGCAGTTTGGTTTGTGTGAGGCATCTGCCCCAAACATCCCCAGCTCTGGCACAGAGTTGCAGCAGCCCTTGAGGACATGCTTTGCCAGCACTGAAAGGTGTTGGCACTGGAATTTGCAAAGGGCAGATGAGTCCATGTGTTTTAACAGCAGAGAGACTTCTCTGGAAGTTGAGGGCACTGATGTGGGAGTGCTGTCCTGTGGCTGCCTGAGCTGGTGCTGTCCCTGCCCATCTCTCCCACAGCTGGGAAGGGGATGTGTTTCACCATGCTGTGCATGCTGAGCAGGACGTGTCTGTGTGCACTGCTAATGAACATTGGCTAGGGCATGACCTGTCCAGACACAGATGTGTTCCCTTTTCTGTGTTTCCCTAATCACCAGCAAACCTGCAAGAGACTTTGAGCAACTTGCAGCCTACTGAAAGGAAACTTGACAATAGTTCATCAGTTAAAACAAATGTGAGCTCCAGAGGAGCTCACTTCTGGCATCCAGTGGCCAGGAGTGCCTGTCAGCCTCTAGGAAGGTGATCAGTACACAGGAGTCTTACTGCATTGTTTGCTAGTGGCTGAGTGGCTGCATTCAGTGGAGCTGCTCTTGAAGAAAAGAGAAATGTTCCAAATGAAATTTTATTTTCTAAAATTTTCTTTGGCCATGCAGAAGTATATGACAAATCTGTCATGAGAACAGCTTTGCAACAGGCAGAGGTTTTTTATGGCTATAGCAGCTTAGTCCTGTCACCCCCACCTCCCCCTCCCCAGAATAAATGCATTCTTTCTCAGTGCTTCATACATTGCAATAGAAATGGCTATTGGACAGTTCCTGACTTTCTCTGGAATCCTGTGCTTTCATCTAAATCAGGTCATAAAAAACCTTCAAACTTGTCAACTAACAACTTGTCAGGGAAGCCATTTTTCTTCGGAAAAGCAGCTGTGCTCCACTGGCAGCTCCCATTCCTGCTGGGCTGGAGTAGGGATCCTGTATTTTTCACATGATCTAGTCCATTAAAATTCGCATATAATGAACTAAACCAGAATCTAGCCATAAAGAAATGCAAGATCTTTCACTGATGCTTTGGGCATGACAGAGGCTGTGTCTGGGTCTCCATAGAAAGGGACACTGCTCATGCTAGAGTGGCTCTCCACCCCATCCATCTCTGAGCAGCAGCCTGGGACACACAGAACTAAGAGACCACCACTCCTTCTGCAGGTTTTAGATGAGTGGTCAGCAGTTCTGGTCTTTTGAAAGTTGTTGGTCCTGGAATCCTCAAAGCAGGAAGCCTGCTGGTTACCTGCTGTGCTGCTTGCAGACCATGTGTTTGTGTGGAAAGAGAGAAATCACTGTTAGTGTCTCCTAAACGAAGTGAAGGTGAAGGAGGGGCTTCATGTGTGCCTGAAGGAGCTGTTGTTCATGGGCTTTAACTCATTATTTCTTTTTGGGGAGCTGTTTCTGCCTCTCTATCCCAATCCACCTAAGGCCTGAAACAAGGCACCCAGACACAGAACTTCAGAAAGCCGGGGCGGGGTTGCTGAACTGTTCCTGCTGGGGCTCACGACAGCTTGGGAGGAGAGTTAGGGAGGGCTACAAGCCATTGTGGATGAGAGCAGCCTTTCCCACATCCATGATGCCAGCCCTGTCTGCTGCCCCAGGCAGCTGTGGGACAGAAACGTGGGGGTTTTCAAATGCACCCCTTGTGGGGTTCTGCTCTGGTCCCAGTGTGGCTGATGGTCAGTGTGGGTCCTCCTTTACAGGGACACACGTGATGTGAATCAGATACCTCCTGGCCAAACAGGGCACAGACAGGTTTTTATCAGGCTCCAGAGAAATGTGTGCAAACTCCCTCACCAGGAAGGGATGGGGGCAGAGGAGACCTTCTGTTCCCAGTGAGTGCCTGAGTGACGTGGCAAATGCTCCCTCGTTTCCCAAGTTGGAATGGTCATTACTGTTAGCTCAAGCAGAGCCAGGGCTTTCCTCCCAGAGTAAGTAGAAAGCCCTATTAAACCCGCCTAATGACAACACAAATCATGTTGAACAGAAAATGTCTTGTGCTCCCTACTCAGGCTGCAGAGGCTTGTGGGTTTTGTCCTGGTTTTCCCATTCCTAATTTGCCTGTGGGAAATGCTGCCTTCCCCCAGCCCTCCCAGTGCCAGCACACAATAGCTGCTTGTTTTTTGCCTGGAAGGAATTGCTGAGCCTTTAAATAGCTGGGATTGGGTTTATTTTTCTTCTGTACTTCAACTCATTCATTACTCAGTCATAGCATCCTAAAAGTGAAGATTTCCAAAAGCACTGGCATTTACCTCCTTTGTTTTGTTTTGGGGTTTTTTACCACAAAAAGATGCTCTGCATCTTGAATTTCATGCACCAGTCTGGTGTTAGTGTCACTAACTAATCTTGCAGCAAAGTGTCAGCTTCCAACAAATTAATTCACATGCCATTAAGCAAACATGAACTGAGCAGTGAGGACTAGCTAGAGCTGATGGCAGCGTAGCTGGCTCAAATGCAACTGTAAAGGTCAATTATTTTTTTATGTCAGAGAGACTTGGAAAGTTTAGTAGAAGCCCTGTGGAGGCTGTGCAGGCTTGCTCTTCCCTCCAGCACTCTGGAGTCGAGGGCAGAGAAACACCTCAGGGAGTGCCCAGCTTTTGTGGATGCTCTCATCTCTGCAATTGCCTTCTTTAAGCTGCTTTGCCCTTCCAGGAGCCTTGTGGCTTCTGTGCATTTTAAGAGGTTTAAAGGAAGGAGAGACTCCATGGCCTAGAGCGCTGCCTCTGCCCCCGGCTCCCTGCACAAATGCTCCCCCAGTGAAATGGCACAGCATGGCATGCACACCCAGGATTGCCATGCTCAGCCCATGCTGCTGGAGAGTAGGGATGAGCATGGCATGGGAACCTGCAATGCATCCTTCAGGCAGGCAGGCAGGCAGCCCCCAGCACCTCTCCAGCTGGCACTGAGCTTCAGAGGTGTACTGATTGGTGCTAATATTGCTGTGATTATTGCTGCTAATATTGCTGTCTCCAAATGAGACAAAAGAAAAAAAAAAGGCTTTTTTACTAAATAAGCAGATGTCATTATGTATTGATAATAAACTAATGCTGCAGAATTAAACTAAGTACAAAATGGAATTTGTTCACAGCTTGACTATACATCTTCCTGGTCCTGGCCTGTGGCATAACCTATCTGTACAGCACTTCCACAGCAGTCAGCTCCTGAGAATCAACTTTTTCTCCCTCAGTATGTCCCTTGCAGATGTTCAACTTCCTAATTGGTCTCTGAGGATTTGCTTTTTACCTGCAGACCAGGTAATCCTATTGGTCATGACACTCTTCCTTGACTGTGTCATGAGCTGATCTATAGTTCTTCTTTATCATCTGGGGAGGTTTACTGAGAATGCAGTTTGAAGAAATGCAACCAAAAGCTGCAGCTGAGCCCGGGTCAGACAAGTGCTCTCTCTGCCCAAACACACAGACAAAACTGCCAGTTCTTGAAGACTGTGCCATAGGTTTGTGGTTTCTTAAGGAACACCACAGGGAACAGGACCTTCACCTGGAGAGCAGATATTTCTGGTAGTAGTTAGGAAGAATTCCAAGAACATTGGAATTTAAGGCAATGCACATAGGGCTTTATTATAAATATGCATCTTCAACAAGTTGACCTTTAGTAGTATTCTGGCAGCAGTGGAATAAGTGAACAAAGTAGGTGAAATAAGTGGGTTGGGGGGTCAAAAAAAAGAGACACATGCACGTTCAAAGCTAACCACAAGTCCTTCCATCACTGCTGAGGCCTGCTGGGATGATACAGAGGTGAGAAGGGGGGTGAAAACATCTACAGACCCTTCCTCCCTCTGCCCTTCTCCCCTGGGTGCAGGAGAAGCTGCCCTGAGAGGCAGGATGGGGTGGGATGAGGAGGAGGATGTGCACTGCACAGGAGAGACACTGCAAGCAGGCTGCTGCCCGTGGAATGAGCTGAAGCCTCTGAGTCTGGGCTTGTCCATCTCACAGCAGTGAGCAAAGGATGTGCATGTGCAGGCTGAGGGAAGCCCATCCACAGGGGCCAGGGAAGGACAATCAGGTCAGCTGTCTTCTTTCCTATGCATGCTGCCAGTCGTTTCTTGGTTTCCATGGAAACTGGCTGCTGCAGAAATGATGTTATGAAAATGACTTCTGAGATTTAAAGCTAACAGATTTGCTTTGCTCTAACAGGAGCAGAGAGACTCATCACTGGATTGCCCTGCGTGTGGTGTGAAAGCGGTTTTGGAGAAGTTGCAGGTACCCCAGGACAGCCTGCACCACCTGCCCTGTGCCACTGACAGCCTGTGCAGCCCCAAACCCCAGCCAGGAGAGGAAGAGGAGGTGGAGAAGGAAGGAGCAGAAACTTCAGACCCCCTTAGCTCCTTACTGGTGGGTACGGCTCACAGCAGCACAAGAGGCAGCGCTGTTGCCATCTCTGGGGGCAGAAATTTGTTGTTTGCCCTGCAAAGTCCAGGCCAGCATCAAGCCAGCAGATGCACCAGCCATGTGTGGAGCATGTGGTGAGATACCCAAGAGGCTGCAAGGAGACTGTGCTGCAGCACCTTGAGTGCAAATAGTAAAGGCAGCAATGGTGGCTTAGAGACAAGTGCAGCCACTGTGAGGCTGCCTGTTCCTCTTACCCAGGTGCTGAGCAGGGCACTCTTTATTCAGGGTTTGCTTTTATACACCGAGTGGTCAAACATCAGACTTGTTGGATAGGCCTACTCTTACATAAGTTGCTCTCAGAAATACATGTATTATTTAATAAACCAAGGTCATGGCTCGCTGAGAAGCTCTGTAGCAATAAAGCGAGCCAGTCTTTGATGGAATAATTGGCACAAAAGCATGCAGAACTTAAAAAGCTTAACTCTCCCTCCATATTATTAATTACTCAATTGAGTTTCATTTGGAAGGAGTCCACGAAAGTATAAAGAGGTATTTAACCTAACAAGAGAAACTCCACAGCCCAGGTGAGGCAGTGTGGTGGAGGCCTGTGGTCCATGATCAGCACCGGTGGTGTGAAGCTCAGCTGTGCCCACCACAGCAGTGACTCACGTCCCCCTTGGAAGGAGGCAGGACAGATGTCCAGAGCCTTGTGCCTGTTCAGCTTAGTGCAGTGCTTGCACCTGCAGGTAATACCTTCAGCAGAAAACAGCCTTGAATAATGATCAGGCAATCACAAAGGATATCTGGAAGCAGATGCCAGTAGGGTGGAATTAATTTCTAGCACGAATTTTGATGTTTCTAGAAGTTGATCCAACATTTTACAAAAATGTTGTCAATAACACAGAAATGCTGAAGGCAGCCAAATCAGACATCAAACTTCTTTTTTTTTTAAGTCCTACAAATGACAGTTGATCATAGCACTAAAAAACAAGTGTTTGTAGTTGAAAAGTTCATTGGTGCAGTGAGAGCTACACAATCCTGGTATCTTCCTGTGAATATTTTTCTTCATGTCTGCTGCAAAATCCACTCAAAACGACTACACCAGGTTACCCATGACCCAGTTTATGGGGAGGCTCACTCTGCAAGGCTCCACAAAACTTGAGGATATAAAACTGGAAATCCTGGGAGCAATGCATACTCTGTTGTGGAGTGTTTCATCTCCTTATGCAATGTTAAAGTGCATCTACACAGGCCTGAGGAGTATAAACACTAATTACTGAAGTCATAAAGAACTTTACAGTACAACTAACAAGCAATTAGATACCTCTTAATTTAGAGGCAGAACTTGATGGTCTGTAATCCTTCAAAGGAGGAACAATGCTGCACAGAAGACAGATTGGTGTTTTATAGGAGAAGTGTGCAGCTCACAAATGCCAGTAACTGCAGTGTCAAAAACACACAGCATGAAGCACTCATGATTTGCCAAAGATCTGCTTTTACTTATAAGTTTAGCTGATCAATAAAGTGCTTAAAAGAACATAGTGTCACTCCATGGAAGAGGACAGCAAAAGAATAATGCATTATTGTGTGTATATATACATATATATATATATATATATATATATATATATATATGGTAGGGATTAAATGTACAGAGAGGGGAGCTCTGCTTGGGCTCTTTGGACTCAAGCTGCTGGACAGGCAGGGCATGATTCAGTTACCTACACACTGGCATTGGCTGCCTCTTGATTTAGTACATAAGGTGCTTTCCCACCTGATTTAAATCTGTCATGGGGGTAACAAAACGCTCATACCTGAAAGGAGCTTGTTTGGCATGGATGGAGTTTTCAGGATTGAGTAAGCTCGCCATCATGTAGCCTTTCCCAGGTTTGCTTCAGAACCTTCCTCCCAGCTCATGTCAGAAAAGGCTCAGATGTTCCTTGGAGCCTTGCCAGAGAGGGTAGAGGCTGATGTGAGGGAATCAGCTTTCCAGCCTACTGCCTTTCTTCCTGGATGAGCAATTTATCTCAAAGCACTCCACCTCCTCTGAACACCTCTCACCCAGGCGGGCAGCATTCCCTGACAGAACAGCTCAGTAGTTTTCTGATGAGTTTGCAAAGTGCTTGGCTTTGTGCTCCAGCTGGTCCAGCTTAGCACTCAGGAGTTCTAGGAAAAGCACAGAGCCATGGTGCTGCCTAAGTGGTTGGGGCCAGAACAGAGCCAGGAGATGGGTCCCATAGGTCCCACAAAGCAACCAGAGGAGCCGGGTTCTGTATCCAACTCAGGCTAAGCTTGGTCAGAAGATAAGGAGATGTTCAGAAGACAAGGCAAGAGCCTGGACAGAAGAGAGGAATTCAAGGAACCTGTAGAAGAAAGACTGTATGCCTTGTAAGAAGCCAGTGAGTAAAGGATAGATTTGTTTTCAAAATCTTTATTCTACCTTACAATGTTATTTAGAGAGTTGTGTTGTCAGTGTTAACTCCTTTTCTGTTCTAACAAAACAGCCTTGGACAGCAGTGTGATAAAGGCTGGAGAACAGCAGCACACAGTCAGTTCAGCTCAGCACCCTGGGTGACTCACCCACCCCAGCAGAGACAGCATCCCTGCCAGCTCAGGGATGCCAGTCCATCCCTGCCAGCTCAGGGATGCCAGTCCATCCCTCCCTCTGCTCTCAAAGCCCCAGGCTGCCCCCGAGACAGCCAAACTCTCCAATCAGGGGATGAGTGCTCACATCTGACTCCCAGATTTTATTGAGCCAAACACAAGAACTTTCAAACCAGTCTAGAATTTGCCTGACCCACAGCTGTGACAGGAGTAGAGTAAGTTTCAAAGTTGGTTCCCAGTGTCCCTTTCCCACAGCAGCACACAAAGTTTGGGAAAATCACCCAACAGCCCTGTGCAAATTGTTATCTGAGAATCTGACAAATGCAATTTGATCACACAGTGATAAGTGAACTCAGATCACAACAGAGGGGCCTTCTGATAGTGTCACTGAACATTTCCTCTGTAGCTTTGTCTTGCAAACCAAGGAGTTCCTTCAGCTCCCTGCTGCTGTCCTGCCGCTGCTGTGCCCCAGCACTGAGACTCAGCATCCTCAGCACCAGGAGGAGAGACCAGGGCTGGCAGATACACACCCAGAACTGCTGCAGGTGAGTCCAGCAAATGACATCTATGGAATCTGTGTATCCTGATCAGTGCTATAACAGCACAGGTTTTGGGTTGTTTTTTTTTAACTGTCTCATGCATTTGGTTTTTCTCTATGAGGGCAATATGTATGTGAGAACTTCACTTCCAGGAGCTAGCAGAATTTTTCCCCAGATGGAAGTTCCTTGGTCAGTAACTGGGGCAGAGCCAGAAAGGTATTAACCATGCAGGAGCAGGAGGAAGTTTCCTTGCTGAGAAGGTTCCTTCAAACCCGTCAGCACAAAAGCCACCAGCTTCACCTCTGACCTCTCTAACCTTTATCAAATTTTCCATCTGTGGCTGTTGCCTACAGAGCCATTTTCAAGACTCTCTACGACTTGTTTTTTCCCCAAGAATTACACTAACAAACTTGATAAATTTGAAATTATCAGTAGACTTAAAGACTTTGGGAGGTTAGTGTTTTGCTAAAAAATCAGTGAATATGTGTTAAAGGGGATTCTGGAAACTTTTCAGAAACTTAGCTGGTTTAATTATGAAAAAATTACATTTAACCAACACTTACATAAATCTGCAGACTTTGGACTACTTGTATCTGACAGAGCTTTACAAATAAGCTACAATCAATTCACATGACATTCTTTGTAACTACAGTTTGAAATTGTCTAAGAATATGAAATTAACTGAAAAAGCAGCCTTTTGTGCATAATGCTAAAAAAAAATTAGCACTTTCCTCAGCTTAAGTCTGCATGATTTTGTCAATTATCTGTCTTAGCTCTGGATGTGAAATCAGTCACTTAAAAGCCCTGTGACAGGTGACAGATTGTTCTTAGCAGACACACCTTTAGTTACTAAAGAGCTGATGGTTTCTGAGGCTTAAATAAAAACAAGTGCTCAAATTCTGCTCCTCTGAATGCACAGCAGCTCTGCATTTCTTTTATTTTGAGAAAGACCTAATAAATGAAATGGTGAGGCTTTGGGGATCATTCCATGATTTAACTTAAAAATAAGAGCATAATGCCTGAGATTCTTCTTAGTGATTGGCCTTTTGCCACAACTTGTCTGAGCAGAAAATTATGTCAGTTATAGATAAGATTTTAAAGAGATCTCTAAGATGTTTAAAATCTGAGGCTTGCTTGTAGTTAAGTTGGGAAAAAAAACCAGAACTTTGTACAACATCACTTTTTTAGTATTTGTGACGAGCATTTGAGAAAGATGGGGGATTTAAGACAAACTGCTGTAATACAATGATCATCTTGAGTGATGAGGTTAAAGGCAAACAAATGTAAAAAGGAAACCATAAAGTAGGGGAATTCGCTTACAGCTCCCAAGCACAAGAATGAGATGAGAATCAGGAGGAAGCAACACCATTATTCAGAGTTACACTGTCAGAAGCCCATGTTAGTGCTCTGAAGGACCATTCATCACAATAAACCCTCCTTTCTCTTCCTCACCTGAGAAGTGGCCCCTTCCTGAAGCACAGGATTAGGTGATGGTTGTTGAATATTCTGCCATCAGAGGCTTTCCCAGGACTGGAAGAACAACTCACCAGCCACCTCTGGCTGCTGTTAGCCTAATTTAGCTTGAGCAGACAAGAAAAACCAATCTATCAGACATCAATTATCTAAGAATTTTAAACAGTTTGTGAGGCAATTAAGCACGTGTTTAGCTTCTGCTCTTGTTCCTGCAGAGGTACTGAGAAGGCATAAGTCAGACATGCTGGGAAAATAGAACTATTAGCATGGGAAAATGTATGGGAAAATAAACCCACCAGTATAAGGGAAAAACCCCTTGTGCATAATTCAGTGCCTCCTGAACAGATGCCTGTGCTCAGGAGGTGTGAAGCTCAATTTAGGGAGGAGGTAGTTGTGTCACTGGTGAGGGCACAGCCCCAGGCCCTACCCTAGGGACACTCCAGAAGGCTTCTCCAGCAGCACTGCTGGCACACGGAGGGGAATGGCAACAGCTGAGAGCAGAGAGTGCACACACACCCTGCGTCCCATGTCCATCTGGGAGCCGTTTCCCCAGCAACTCAAAGAGCTCCAGTTGTCCCACCGCTTCCCAAAACCTCAGAGCTCAGCTTCTGCACTGCACATGCTGTCCCTCTCCCACCAAATTCTGATGGCTGTCTTGCATCAGGTGCTCTCTAGAGTTAATGACTTCAGCCCAGCACCCGATGCTTTAGGCAGGAAACCAGGATCCTCCAAAATCAAAACGTGACAGAAGGCTGTAGCCCTCGGTAGCCAGCCACCAACAGACTGACTCAGCCTTCAGCCAGGTCACAGTGAGGCATCAGGAAAAGAGCAAAATATTGGATCTGAAAACACCAAGCACCAAGATATGAGGTATTTTTAATCTCTGCTGTTTCTCAGAAAGCAGCAGAAACCACACCAGGTAGAGAAATATTTATATGCTAAATTAACACTCTCAGTGTGCAAGACATGAAGTCATTCCTGTCACGAACAAGAAAAACCTTGAATTCTTGCCAGGGAATCTGGACACCACAGCAGGACACCTAAGGTGCCTGCAAATCTGGAACAACTGTTTGGAAATAATATGTTGTGTTTGACTTTGAACTCTCAAATCTCATCCTTGCAGACTGCCTGTTTCTTGTGAGATCCTTCTGAACCCACGTGCAATTTTTTTCCTTTACCCCTTGCCAAAGGTGTGTTATTTTGTGTGGGAGATCCTGCTCTAGCAGACTGAAACCAGCCTTCGTAGCATGATGAAACAACACACTGACTTCTCTGAATTCTCCATGTATTTTGGATGGCAGCTGTCTCAGGAATATACTGTAACTTCCAGTGGAACAAAACACCTTACATGTGGCAGGGTGCTAGCAGAGAGTCATATCACCAGACAATGTGGGGTGGGAATAAGCCAGTGAAATACACTTTAAACTTGATTACAAAACTAAAATAAAACTCACAAACTCCTTGCCCTCCCTAACCGCTAAAGAGTGAAAACAAAAGGGAAAAAATCTCAACAAGATATAACAAGATCTACCTGATACATCATAATTTTTTGAAGTTGATACATGGCATGGCTTCTGAACATCCTCTCCAGTTGTCTAGTTTGAGTGTCTACTTTGAGATGCTCTGCTCCTTGAATGTGACTCCTCTCTGCCTGTACACTGCTAATTACACATCCACTTGAACAGCAGACTGCATGCAAAACACATCAGCAAAGAGGCTCCTGGCACACCATCTCTTTCCTCTCATAGCCTTCAGTGATGTCACTGTCTATGTTGTACCACTTTCCCTTCTCTGGGCTTTAGTCTAATCTTAGCAGATATGCAAGAGCACCAGTGAGTCAGGCAAAAATTTAATTTATCTAGAATTGGATATATAGGGAAAAGTGTAAGGACAGAAGAAGCACACCACAATAACTCCTCAGAATACCCTTACAGCTTCAGTGACTTGTGCTGAGGGAATTCTTATGTCTGAGAGGGTGCCTGAGCATTTAATAAGCTTCAATATATTTTTTCCCCTATGAATTTTCTAATTTTGTTGTGCTATTTAAACAGCTTATTTCTAAATAAATTTCATACTCGTGCAACTCTTTCCAGTTTGTTATGAATTCTCAGAAACCACATCCCAAAAGAAACAATTACCATACCAATACCTTATTAGCTCTAGTCTTCAGTTTTCCCTCAGGAGTTAATAAAGATTAAGCCTGACACATTGACATGACAGACATGGAGCACGAGGTGCAGAGTTCATAATAACCACCCTCCACTCTCTTCATGACAGAAAACTCAGGGCAGCCACTGTGTTTTGAAAAATGAAGATGTGAAATGGAAGAGGAAGTTTTGAAGTAAGGTCAGATGAACACCTTAGCAATGAAACAGGGCCAAAGGTAGGCAGCTCTGACAAAAGAAAGGAGTCCCCTCCACAGTCTTGTGCCTATGACCCTGTGGTTACAAGGTCACCACTCAAATTTGTGTCAGAAGCAGTTTATATCTCCCAATATCTTCAGTTTCAAAAAAAAAAAAAAAAATCCAACAAGTTCTTCAACTTACCAAATTGCAGATTAAGAAAAAAAGACCAAACATGCAGAAATAAATAGTACCATCATCTGCTTGAAGTGGATTACAGTGACATACAAGAAAACTTAAGTGTCTGTTAGTATTTGCCAGTAATACATTTAAGACATTTAAGACATGCTTTACAGATGAAGTAATTTACATTATATGAAAAAAAAAAAAAGATTATTTAAGGAAAACTGCTCTATTTTTAGTCAGAAGCATCCTTTAGTCCAATTTATACTGGTGAGTCAGGGAACTTTAAATCTAGCTCTACATCCAACAGTATAGCTGCAATTATAACCCTTATGTTTTATATAAGCTGCCTTTTTTAATATAAAACCCTCTTCTTTTTTGAATCAAGTGCCTAAATAACATAAAGACATTAAAAGATCTGGCAGAAAAAAATAAAGCTATTAGAAGCCTGCTCTTATTTCCTAGGCTTTTAGAGGAGTACATTGAATTAAAATCTCTTATGTGTTGCAGATGAAAAGATCATTTGTACCAGCAGTTAGGAATAAGTTAGGCAAAGTCAACCTACAGAAACAATCAGCAAAGCTAACCCAGAATAAAACTGTCATGCAGTTGAAAGTTAATTTGCATTAACATTAATACTTAGGGGGGAAAAAGGGTTTTTTTAAAATTCAATGGCACGAATGTGGTTGCTGACTGCCTTGGCAACAAGCAGCCTGCACACACTCTTCGTGCCTGCCCTGAGCCCACAAGGGTTACTCTGACATAACCTACAGCACAGTATCTCTGCAGCCATCATAATAACAATTTACCCCCAAAAACCATCATAGCATCCCAGAATCATAGGGTACCTTGGGTTGGAAGGATTACTAAAGATCATGTAATCCAACCCCCTTGCAATGAGCAGGAGCATCTTCAATTAGATCAGGCTGCTCAGAGCCCCATCCAGTCTGACCTTGAATGTTTTCAGGGATGGGGCATCCACCACCTCTCTGGGCAACTTGTTCCAGTGCCTCTCCACTCTCATAGGGCATAATTTCTTCCTAATATCCAATCTAAATCTACCCTCATTCAGTCTAAAGTCATCACTCCTTGTCCTATCACAACAGGTCCTGCCAGAAGGTTCCCTTCCAGCTCTTTTGCAGACTCCCTTTAGGTACTGGAAGGCTGCTGTAAGATATGCCCAGAGCCTCCTCTTCTTCAGGCTGAAAAACCCCAGCTCCCACAGGGTGTCTCCACAGAGCTGCTCCAGCCTTCTGAGTATCTTTGTGGCTCTCCTTTAGGCTCACTCCATCAGATCCATGCCTCTCCTGTGCTGAGGACTCCAGAGCAGGATGCAGCACTGCAGCTGGGGTGTCTGTCTGTCACAAGACCAGAGTAGATTAGAATTCAACTACTGGCCACTCTTCTATTGATACAGTCCAGGATGCAGTTGGCTTTCTGAGCTTTCAGCTCAGAAATACATAACCCCAAAACACATTATTCTTACACACTTGCATTCAGTAACATAATGTTCTTCTCTGGAAGGACAAATACACTCAAGGCAACTGAGGACATGAGTGGAATAATCATCCTCTTCATGACTTGTGGCAATTCTAAGTACCTCTTGATTTTATGGCTTACAAAATGGCACATGGTTACCACAAGCAAATGCTTCACTGCTATTTAAGTAGCTTCAGGGTGACTATGAAGACAAAGCACCGCTGGACATCTCCAAAATTTGCCTTAAGGGGTGATTCA